CCATCTTTGAAAAATGACCGATAAGAATTTCTATAAACGTTGCAAGAGTTTTTCATTGGTGATTACACACCGTAATATCCTGTAAGCTATGCTATACATTAAACACTTGGAAATAAAATGCTGGACGAAAAGGTAAATACACAATGCTATTTACTTGTAGTTTAGTCCCATAAACGTTAAAATTTATAATTCTAAATTTTCAATTCCATCAAAAAGCATGTTCTGTCGTCTGCTTTGGTAAGCTTCCTTTTCCTATGCATTCTATTATCCTGGATATAACTATCAAGATTCCTGCCACATGTGTGGGATTAAAGGAGATATATTTCAATATCCACCCCAATTTTGAAGGTTCAGCTTGCAACTAAGGGCAAGAATAAACTTGTTGCACCGAGCAGCATATCACCTTGAAGAATATAGGCTAGTTATTGTTGATTTTTGTAGATTAGGTTTTATAATACTTTAAATGCCTGTTTGTTTCCCAATAGAAATAATAAGCATGCAGAAAAGTTTACAAGGAATTCATATCCTGGGTCTTGTTTAATGTGGAAACAGACGGGGCCTAAATTTCCCATCTTTTAAAGCATTTTTCTCACTATTTACAAGGAACATTGTGAAGTGTCTTGCCTGATTTCTTGAGTCTATGGGGTGTGGTTTCAGAAGAGGGGTGGATGGAGCTTGGCCACAAGCTGTTTTGTCTTTTGTAATGTTGATTTTTCTGACATTCTTCTGTTTAGGGGATGCTAGTGGACATGACATTGCAGTTTCAGAGATTGGTCCCTGTCATTGTTTCTTACACTGATCGCTTGCTAGGCTGTCAAAAGCATCGCTGGCTGGGAGAGCGCTTGCTTCAGAAAGTTGATGAGCTTCTGCTTCCAAAAGTCAAAATAAACTATAATTTGTCTTCTTACCTGCCAATATTTGACAGAATTGCAGAGAACAGTACAATACCTCCCAGGGGATTGTTGGACCTACTTGACAAGTTTATGGTTTTTCTTGTTGAGAAACATGGCCCTGATACAGGGCTGAAAACTTGGTCACAGGGAAGTAAAGTTCTTGGCATTTGCCGAACTATGCTGATGCACCACCACAGCTCTAGATTGTTCCTTGGGTTATCTCGCCTTCTTGCTTTTACATGTCTATATTTCCCTGATTTGGAGGTTCGTGACAATGCAAGGTATGACCGGAGAAATTGCTTGCATTTCAGTGTTGTTTCAGTTTGACAGACTCTTTCCATGTAAAATAATCAAAATCTGGCTCTGTTAACTATATGGATCTGTTCGGAGATAATTACCTATTATAATCAGTTGTCATTGACTTTTCTTCTTTAACCGTGGCTTTTTATAGGATCTACCTGCGAATGCTGATCTGTATACCAGGAGTGAAGCTTCGAGACATACTGAACCTGGGGGAGCAACTTGGTATTTCTCCATCCTCACATTCCAGTTCTTTTTTCAATGTTCACTCTCCTCGACAGCATTATCAGAATCTCAAGAAATCCAGGAACATCGCAGCCTACATTCACATTGAGCGAACAAAACCACTGCTTGTTAAGCAAACCTGGTCCTTGTCCTTGTTACCTTTGGGTGATGGGAGTGCTAAAGCTGGTTATCTAGAGAGCATAAGGGATAGTGAACCTTTGGTTGACATAAGAGATCTGAATGGCAATGAAAATTTGCTCACTGCCCCAGAAAATGAAAGAATCTATCAGTCTCGAGAGCCGTTACGCGTAATGGATTCAAAAATTTCGGAGATCTTAGAAATATTAAGGAGGCATTACTCGTGTATTCCTGATTTTAGGCACATGCCTGGGTTGAAGGTTAGAATATCCTGCCATTTGAGATTTGAATCTGAGCCTTTCAATCATATATGGGGAGACAATTCACCTACTAGTCAGTTGGATGGAATAGATGGTCTTCCTGCCATATATGCAACTGTCCTTAAATTTTCATCCTCGGCACCATATGGATCTATCCCATCATATCGCATACCTTGTCTTCTTGGGGAACCTCCCAGGAATGATGATATTTCTGGCCAGAGTGTTTCACTAGACATTGTTCCCATAGAAAATGGTGCCAGGGAAAAGGAAAGCTTCAGAGCTCCTGTAACAATTGATTTGGAACCACAGGAACCAACTCCTGGTCTAGTTGATGTTTCCATTGAAGCAAATGCTGAAAATGGTCAGGTCATCCGTGGTCAACTTCAAAGTATCACTGTAGGTATAGAGGACATGTTTCTCAAGGCTATTATCCCATCTGACATTGCAGAGGATGAGATACCTGCTTATTATTCCCAGTTATTCAATGCTCTCTGGGAGGCGTGTGGTGCTCCTTCCAACATAGGGCGGGAGACATTCCAATTAAAGGGGCAGAAGGGTGTTGCAGCAATCAGCGGAACCCGATCAGTCAAGCTACTTGAAGTTCCTGCAGACTCTCTGATCAGGGCCACTGAGCAGTATCTGGCACCCTTCATTGTTAGTGTGATTGGTGAACCACTTGTTAACATGGTGAAGGATGGGGGATTAATCTGCAACATCATATGGAAGGATTCTGCATCGGATTCCTTTCTTGAAAGCACCACATCAGTTACTGGTTTAGAAAGAGGTCCCCTTCACCTTACCTATGGTGAAGACGATGGGAGTGGAAGTTCAATAAATACTAGTAAAAGAAACATGGGCTGCTTTCTTGTATTGATATTTCTTCCACCAAGGTTCCATCTCCTTCTCCAAATGGAAGTAAGTGATCTTTCAACCTTGGTTCGAATTAGAACTGATTACTGGCCATGCTTAGCTTATGTTGATGATTATCTGGAGGGTTTGTTTTTGGCATAGAGATGAAAGGTTTTTCCTATTAGAGTATTTCTGCACAGAGGCAGATCCCCCTCTTCTGATCAGGAATTAGGTCTCATCTACCACTTCTGTGGCTGCCATGAGATCATTTGCATTTTGTTCTTAATTCTTTCTATGGATTGTTTTGCACAAAGAAGGGTAATTTTTTGGCACCCAAAAAACAAACTGTTCTGTAAATACTCTGCAAGAGAGCCCTTGTTTTTGAATCATGTTAGTGTATCAGAAATATAAGGATGGATTTTTGGATAGTATTCATATCTTTGGCAAATCTGCAAGTTTGTACCTGATTTGTAAAGCAAAGTAATAACTTTTTTTTTCAGTAGACATTCTTTTATTATAGGAGTGAAGAAGATTTTTTTAGTTGTTAATGGAGCTTAATAGCAGTATTTCTGTATGTTCTCTGTCTGGACAATACTGTAAACTCCACAATAAGGAAAGCGAAAGGGGAGTATCCCTTTTCCAGAGTCAGAATGCTTCTGAAGAGAATTTTGTTGAGGTACGTAGAACTTTTAATTTTTCACGCAAGCTACGGAATTAATCATGCAGGGGATATTTTATCGGTTAGAAGATTAATTATCATTTATTTATGTTCTCTAGGTCCTATAATTCCTACAGTGATAAACAGGAGTATAAGTATCTTGAACCTGCCAGCCAACAAGTATCTATATTGAAAGAGGAGCGCTGCTTATTAGTGTGTGTGTGTGTGTGTGTAGAGACAGGAAGTTCTGCAGTGGGAAGTGAATTGTCAATAACACTGATCTGTTTGTTCCATTATCAACACTTTGACAGTCGATTACAGCGAACGCAAACCTCAAAATTATATGGTATGGCGTTTCCCTTGACAACAGGACGACTCTCTCAAAATTATATGGTAGATGATGGCGTTTCCCTTGACAACAGGACGACTCTCAGCTGCAATTATACCAGCAATGTTATCCAAGGATGCTTGCTCCTGGTGTGGAGCAACTCTGACCAAGGGATCTGCCATGTCTTCTCTTTCCCAAGGCATTTCCACATAACAGCAACCCCGATTTCAAATATTGAAGTCAGGCAATCTCACACGATTTGCTTGCTTGCATAATCGTTTGTGGTTGTGGTTGTGGTTTTGGTTGTTGATGATTATGCTCGCCTCTTAATCTCCTCCTCGTAGAAGTATAGGATCTCTTCTTTCCACTTGTCCAGGCAAAGCCATCTTAACGAAGTTGTGAAGGTCCAGACCATCTTCAAACATGCCATCCGTCGGCCTCTTCCTGGAAAATATCTCTTATAGGAGAATGCCAAAGCTATAAACATCACCATATATTTATGCCTCTCCTCCCATGCCATTGTCTGCCATTCAGGTTGTCGGTCTTCTAAAATCCAAATTTTACATGGAATATTGGCCTAAGACGTGCAACAAAAATGACTAAATCGCCATTTTATTGGAAGAATAGCGTGCTATTTTTTTTTATCTGCCTACTTAAACTGGGTTTAGTGGCTTGAAAGCTGAAATAGCTTCCAGGCTACGGAAGCGTCACAATGGTTTGTTGGTTATCCCTAATTATTAAACCGGGAGGGTTTAATTTGTTATAGGATGGGCACTTCAAGAGAATTCAAGTGAGGTAATAGGAAATAATATGAGTAGGTACCTGGAGCAACAAACGCTACATGGAACCCTCGAATGTTTCCTTGTTTAAGGTTTTGTACCAAGGATTCTAGACGCCACCTTGAACGGACGAATCACAGTGGAGTCTAGAAGACATCTCGTGACGCGGATGATCTAAATGACTGAGTATGATGTGGAGTAGAATGACGGAAGAGTCCCTCCGTTCACCGGATGTCACAGGAGTGTAATGTGGAGTCGAATGACGGAAGAGTCCCTCCGTTCACCGGATGTCACAGGAGGGATAGATGCTGGGCGTACCGTCTGCAAAATCAGAAGATCGTTCCAACCGGGTTCATATAATCACAACCCAAGGGATTGATGATATCATCTGTTATTCGGAGCTCTAAGGCTCTCCCCTTATATATATTACCCAACCTAAGATCTCTGCAGTGGCTGACAACGAAACGCAGGTGATAGGATTTTCTCCTTTCCTATTTTTTGCGTTATATATATATATATATATATATATATATAAACACAGAGAGACAGGCGCAGCTAAGAGGGAGGCTCTAGCTAAGCTTTTTGCTGAATTCTATCAGATAACCTGGATGACACCGCACCCACAAAAAGTGGGAGCGATAAATATCACTAGCAAAGTAGCTATCAGTAAATTCTACAAGAGCCTAGTTCCTAGTCAAAAATAAAACGAGCTTATCCAAAAATCAATAGGCTATCCTCGGTCATGTGTTCTCGATCCTGATTGAAGAGAATCATTAGAGCTTCTATTTTTAGCATCTGTATGCCTATCTTCCTTCCAATCCGGTGAAGACTTTTTCTTTCTTAACATCTCCTCCGCATATCGACGCCACAAAGTTTCCCTCTCTTTTCGAGGCATCTTGTTATACCTAGGATCAGGCTTCAGAAGACGTTTAGCAGGTGACCATGAATCAAGGACTGTTTTCCCGTCTTCTGTCTTCTGGGCTGCTGCTTCACCAATTATAACTTCAGGTAACAGATCTTTGAAAACATTTGTACACCGCTGGGGAACAAAAAAGTCAGATTGTGAGACAGTCACAATACAGATCCACTAAATGAAATCCATTAAGATGCCCTTTGATTGTAGCGTACTTGCATTTAAGAAGTATTACCTCATGCGGCATCTTGATGTGCTCCCGAAAGAGATTCTCTATATCAGATGGATCTAAATCAGGATTTGTCGCACGTCCTTGTGGATCCTTCTCCAACCTTGGTTTTGACTCGGTCCAAGATGCCTAAGTAACAGTCAAGCCAAATGGTCAGAACTATAGATGGGAACAAAACGAACCCAAACCCCATCCAACAATGTTCATGAAAAGTTAGCTCAGTTACACAAGAAACCTGATAGATTTTAATTATCAGAATCATCTAGTAGACTTTGTCTAATTAGTTAAGCGATAGCAAGCAGCAGCATTGCACACTTCAGTATTCTGTGGCGAACATATTATGAAATAACCAGGACTGATTTCCATTTTTTATTTAAACTGTAAGAAGAATAGTTTACTAGCTGATGTTGAATTTGGGTCTGTGATTTCAGTGTTTAGCAAGCACTGCATCATACAGAGGGATCGATGGCACTATGACAGCTACAATTCAAGTATGACATTGAACCCATGCAGTCAACTAATTCAGCAAAACCTTTCATCCCACATAACTTCAGTGATAAATAGAGTACTCTTACATTATAAATGCATCAGTAACCTAGCATGAAGCCCTGAGCATACCAATTCCAGGAGGTAATTCTGTCTGCATCCTTGGAGCACCTGGCAACTGATGAACTGAAGCAGAAGAAAGCATGTGATTTGCACCTGCAGTTCCAACAGGAACAGCACCAGGAGGTTGAGAATCAGGCAACAAAACAGGAGGAGGAGATATGCTATGTCCAGGAAAAGCAGCAGGATATGGCAAAAATGGTTGCCTAGGCGTACCTCCCATGGGTGGGGGATGCATCCAGAGGCCTGTGGGGATGCAGCCATGGCAGGTAAAGATGGGTAGGTAGGATATGTTTGCTGCTGAACTGCATTTGAAGGGGGCATTGTTGGCATAATGGGCCTCTGAACTCCTGAAGGTAAAGAATCAACAGCTACAGGTGGCTGGGTCATTGGAGCAGATGGTGCCAGCCCTTGGGGGGCAAATGTGCCGGGAGTTCTAGCCAATCCAGGGGGAAAAAGAAAGGAGCAGTATCTGGTGCCTGTGAAGTTGTCAGTCCCAGGTTAGGAAATAAAGATGCATTCATCGAAGAACTTGAAGGATAATGAAGGGGCAATGAAACAGACTGGGATACAATTGATGCCGCTAATGGTGCACTGCCTTGGGAAACTGCAGATGATTTATCCTGCATGAATCAAAGAGAACTAAACGTTAAATTCTAGGACCACGGATTTCATGCAATGGTTAGACATCACGAGATAATGTTGAAAACAACATCATAACTACAATAGATTTTAAGACCAAAATGCAAAAAAAAAGAAAGAGAAAGAAGTCTCCTTCCATGTTCTATTTCCATACAAGAACACAGATATCAGCGCAATCAGGAGGAAGTCGAGGACAATTTTACACGTTACCGGAATTAACTTCAGTATATGAATGTCTTCTGCAAACACTGTCACGTATAGGTACATGTCGATGGCTATCCTCAAGAGTAAATTGTCTGTGAGAAGTGCCCATCTCAAACTAAAATCACAACTCTCGCCCTCAACAACTTAAACCTTTCCCATCGAACCATCCATGACTCATGTGAATACAATGGGAGCTAGGCTGAAAACAACATTCTAAACAACATAAAGGGTAAAGAATTAAATTAACCACTCACAATGCAGGATTGAAGCTGCTGATTGCCATGAGAAACAGGACTGGTTTGCGGGATTTTATACGAAAAGGGAGGGCCAGCGGATGAAACCGGGCCAGGAACATGGACAGGCGGTCCCGGTGGATTATGGATTAGCATGCATAGCCTGCAAGCATTACACAAAATATAACTATACATTTTTTTAAAAAATAGAAATTAATAATAACCGAAAATGAGAATAAGAAGGAATAAATAAATACTGACCGCACCGGAAGACATATTAGGAATCACGTTGTAACTGAATGCCGGCGCCGGAACTGAACAGCTACTGTTTGCATTGTTACCAGCTGAATTCTCCAATGGAGGAGCATCTGCTGCGACTCCGGCTTCAGTGGAAGTTGGCGGAGGCTTAACTTCTCGTCGAGGCAACCAAGCTGGCGATTCCATTATTTTATCTACGAAGTAAAGAAGCGAGTGAGAATTCAAATACAAACTGAGTGAATGGTCTTCTTGTTAACTTTGACGAGATCAAAAGGACAGATAAGAATCACCCTTGAGAGAGTGAAACTAGTTAGGGATTAAAATAGCAAATGCGAAACCCTGATTTTATTTCCTTTGCATGGAATAGAGGGTGACAATAGGCAGGAGGTGATGAGGTAATGAGAAGGGCTGTCGTATCGTCGAGTCAGAGGGGTTGTCGTTTGAAAGAGGAGGGACTTGAGCGTGTGCTGGAACCGAACTCGTCGTCCGCTAAGCCGTGTGTACGGATTATTGTATTGTACTTGGGTCGGGTCTGGACGGGACGGGCCCAGCCCGGTTAACTCTTCCTTTCGTGACAAAATATGGTTTTATTTGTGAAAATGTAACTGATTTTTTCGTCATTTCTTGTTTTTCTTTTTAACTCACCATTTAGTTAACAAAGAAATGGGAAATAAGAACTTTATTCATCAAGATTTACTTAAAAGCTAGGAGTACTTTAGCTTATAGCAAATTTTAATATATCGATTAAAAAAACATGTTTTCATGTGTAGATTAAAAAAAAAAGCTACGAAACAGTTTTATTTTAAAAAATAATTTTATAAAAAATAACATGTTTTAATTTGCTTTGAAGAATAATAGAATTACATAACTGCTGAAAAATTATGTATATGGTAAATACATGGGGGGGACCTTTTTATTTTTATTTCACTGAAGTACGCGAGAAAAGTAGCTATTTATCTTCTTCCATCGCCTTTGCTCTTATCCTTTTATCTGTTCAAGCTACGCGTTGAAATCTTCACGCTTCCAGTCCCTTCTCTGGTGACTTGCCATGCCAGGAGTTCTCAGCACCCAGCAACTTTGAATATGTATATTATAAATCGATTAGCCTGCAAGATTTAAAGAATTCAAACGCATCATGTGTTCAATGAATATGGAGATAACAGCATGGTGCATTGTATCGATTACAGAGAGAAACGAGATGTCAGATGTCGGTTTTAGTTTTCCATCGGGACAGAGACAGCGCATTGGGTCTGAATACATGCATGAACACGACGAACCTGCTAGGCGAGAGGATGGTTGTGTTCACGGATGCTTCAGTCTGGACTTCCACTGTCAAATTGCCTGTACAGGAACTGTATATAGTCTATCTTAACTCGATAATTACCGTTCAGGTTTGGTTTGGATGTCTGTGTGTTTCATATTTTGATGCAGTAATTCATGCTTGTCAATTGTGTATTTTTTTAAAAAAATATTTTTTTATTTTACATGTTAAAACCTTTAAAAAAATTGAAAATATATAAATTTAATACTTTTTCAAATAAAATATATTTTTGAAATAGAATGAAAAATCACGAGTCAGTGGTAGAACATTTGGTGTCCCTGTATCTGTGTTGTGGATTAAATTAATTAACTTAATATTAAATCAAATGTTTTTGATAAAACAGTAGTTTGACTTAATAAATTTTAAAATAATATATATATTTTTTAAAAAATATTAAAATAACATTATATTAAAACAATCTAAATTAATTTAGATTAACATATTAAATCAAAACCAAATCATAAAATTATAATAATCTATATAAATAAAAAGAATATGAAGCCATCATAAATTTTATTTTTTTATTATTAATATGGATATTTCAATTTAACTTATATGTATCTCAACTAATTTTATAAATTATAAAATTAATAATTATATAAATTTTTAATAATTTTAAAATTTATAAAACTATAACTATATAAACTCCATTCTTTTATCAACGATGAAGACTTGACTATGAAGTAATTTATTAAAATATATATATATATATATAATCAGAGCTAGGACAAAGATGGATCATGGTTCTCGAACTCATGATAGAACCCATCCTTATCTTTTATTAAACGTGCATTGTAGTCATTAAATCGTAAGCTTTCTTCCAGGAGAACTGGCTTAGAGGGTGCAAGGAATTTCAAAGGCAGCACATGTTCATTTTTATTTAAAAAAAAGAGAGTAGGATGAAACGAGAGACGATGAGTATCGCAGGAAGAACACGAGCTAACTAGTGTTGATGAAGTGGAGAAAGACGAATATAGAATCGTCATGATATACAAAATAAAATGAATATCTTTATATTTTACCATGCTGACGAGGGATGAAATTAACATAACAAAACATGAAAGCAATATGTTTTGATTCCGACGAGTATTGTTTTTAAACTTGTAATGTACGTAGCAATTAATATAAATCACTATTTTCACTCTAGTATATAACAAGTATTTTCTAAAATTAGCCTCGAATGTTAATTTTCTTACTCGTTAATTAAAAATACATTTAATCATCCTAAAAAACAGATATATATATATTACCATTCAATCTTCATTTTTTAAATTTTTTTATTAAATCTAATATATATTTGACGATTCTTGCTTTTATACTCAGCATGGAAAATAAAGGTAATCATAATCAATGATCCATATTTGAATACAAAGATAAACAGTGAGATGCTTGGAAGAAAAACCTAGTCTATGTCCTTTGTCCGATGCAACCCTTCATTTTAAAAAAATATTATTTGAAAATCGTATATGATAACACAACACGTTTTTATATCTCAATTGCTATTTAACATGTGTACTCCCACGGGCTGCGAGAACATGACGTGGCAGCATTTTTTTATTTTAATAAATTAATTATTTTCTTATATAAAAATATCAGGATGCCCTTTATAAACACGTGAAACAAAAAAAAAAAAGTCTTGATTTTTAACTTTTTTAAAAGGTATAATAGTATTGTTAAACAAAACAATATCCTAAGTCAGCAATTTATTTTTTTAATATTTTTAAAAAGAGTAAAAAATCCTTGGGTAACCGCTAAAAAAATCATTAAATATAGGGATAAAATTGTATTTTTAACATGCAAAAAATTAAAAAAAATAATATATATTTCTATACAACTTTTTAATGATTAATAAACCAATTATAAAGATCAAAACATTCTTAAGATCACTGTTTTTTTTTAACTCATGGGTAAAGAAATAATTATATTGTAATAATCCACCGTAAATTATATCTACCATGAAGAACACACATATTTAGAGTTTTTATTAATATTTTTATTATTCTATCACGTGACACAAATTAAAATGTATTTTGAAAACAAATAAGTATTAATTATATTTAATAATATAGTAGATGTTTTACAAAAATATCTTGTAATTAAAAATATATTATAATAATAATTTTTAATAATTTTATAAGTTTTTAATATTAAAATTATAAAAAAATATTTTATTTTATTTTTTAAAATATATATATATTTAAAAAAAAAATTAGTTTGAAAAGTAAAGCTGACAAAAAAAACTCTGTAGGCGCGTCGGCTCCGACAAGCGCGGAAAAATCCAATTAAACGCAAAAATTGCATCGTCCACGTCTTTCTAATTTTGAGAGGCCTTCAATCCTGCGTAATCAGAAAACCAGCTTTCCCTTGCCAAACCCACGAACAGAGAAAGAAACGCTGTTTCTTAATTTTATTAAAATTCAATCTCCTCTGCTAACACTTCTTCCTTTTCTTCTCCAATTTCTTTTCATGGACTTTTCATCTACGACTCTTCTCAGTTACCCCAAACTCTCTAGATTAAGATTTTATTGATTTCATTTTTCTCAGTTACCCCAAACTATCTAGATTAAGATTTTATTGATTTCATTTCCAGCTCTCCCTTTTCAATCCTTACTAGTAATAATAATAATAATAATAATATTATATATATATTAAAAAACAAAATTCTATGTTCCCAGGCAATGATCCTTTTTATGCCCTTATCATAACTGGGGCACTGATTTTTTCTGTTTTCTAAATGACTTTACAGTCTTCTCCCGCAAGCTTTAGTTCTTATCAAATTCTCCCTCACCTCTGCCCATGCAAATCCTTCCATCAAACCAAGTACCCGTCGCTTCCCTTCTCTAAAAGGAGGAGGAAAAAACTAATCACCGACCTCACACACCAAAATTTCAGAAGAAAGTTGTTGACTTTCCATGCTTGTGTCTTCCCAAACGACACCAGAAATAGCAGTGTAAACATTGATGAGATTTCACAGGGGACTAAGAGGTTTGTTTTCAAGCGAATTGCTAATGAACTGGAGACCGGCGAGCTATCCCAAGAGCCATCGATTTCGAACTTCACTGGTTTTCAAGAGGATCCTATCGTGGGAAAGCTAAGGACTCAATTGGGAGCGATACACCCGATACCATCACCTCCAATTAATAGAAATATTGTTGGGTTATTTGTGTTTTTCTTCTTTGTGGGTGTTGTTTCTGATAAGGTATGGACTTCGAGGAAGAGAGATAAAAGCAATGAGGAAGGGAAGCGTGCTGGGGCGTGGCCGCAAGTGCCCACCAGCTTTTCCTTGTTTCTGGAGAAGGATTTGCAGAGGAAAGAGTCCGTTGAGTGGGTTAATATGGTGCTAGGGAAGTTATGGAAGGTTTATAGAGGCGGGATTGAGAATTGGCTTATTGGGCTATTGCAACCTGTTATTGATGATTTGAAGAAGCCTGATTATGTTGAGAGAGTTGAAATCAAGCAATTCTCTCTAGGGGATGAGCCATTGTCCGTTAGGAACGTTGAGAGAAGAACTTCTCGCCGCGTCAATGATTTGCAGTAAGTTAGCTAGCTATTTGAAGCAGTTATGATAATGTTTCAGAATTTTTGTAATAAATTATAGTGGAAATTCAATTGTTAATCTGTAAGTGGTCGGCGGCCTTGCTGCCATAATCACTGAGATTCAGCTTTGTTAAGCAAAGTTGATTTATGTTCTCTTTTCATGATATTTAGGTATCAAATAGGTCTCAGATATACTGGTGGCGCTCGGATGCTTCTAATGCTATCGCTAAAATTTAGCATTATCCCTATCATGTTGCCAGTCAGTGTTAGAGATTTTGACATTGACGGTGAACTCTGGGTCAAACTGCGGTTGATACCAACAGAGCCATGGGTGGGAGCTGTTTCTTGGGCTTTTGTGTCACTTCCGAAGATCAAATTTGAATTGTCGCCATTTCGTTTGTTCAATCTAATGGGTAGGTCATAGATATGATCCAAAAGGAGCTATTTCATCTATTTTATTGGCCATAAAAGAACTATTTCATCCATTTTATGTCTTAATAATACTTGCATTTGGATTCATTCTGCTGTAATTCATTAAGTGGTCAAGAATAAAAGCCAGTCGATAAAATGTATTAATGCA